CTCTTGGTCCTTCTTTTCCGATTTAGCTCATTAGTGCACTTTTGGTTGAGCAATGCAACATGGTACCATCTGCTGCAAAAAGTGACCTTGGCACAGTGAAGACTCATACGTGCCTATGACTTCTTGTAGGTTAAATTCTGATCGAGACTGGCACACCACCATCATGCGAGCAAACAAACATCGGTCTTTCTGTAACTTCACAATCTTCTTGTTAACAGTGATATTTGTCTTCTTACAGGTAGATTTCCAGGTTAGAAGACTGCGCTTTTTCATCGGCGACCACAGGTTTTCGTTCCCTTTTTGAATGAATTCCGTGACAAAAACCCCCATAGTACTTTGCGCACAGAGGTCACGTTTAACGTTTTGGGGCATCACTTTAGTTACGAGATTAAAGAGATAATCGTCTGGCTGAATAAAGGGATTGGTGAAGCTTGCAATTGTGGTGGTCAGCTTGCTGGCTTTGTTCTCTTCACGGGATAACGGGATAACGGTGAGCGAAAGGTTGTGGTGTTGGTCTTGAATCTTGATAGAAACTTCTGCCATATCTTTGGCTTGCTCGACTAATTGGAGAAGTTCTGGGGCAATCAAGAAGAACTTTGCGTAAGCTCTGGGATTCTGAGTCACACCAACTAGGCCGGCCTCTGCTTACTTTTATAGAGCCATTAATGTGCTCCAGGGCGTTGTCGGCAGCAGACCACAGAAATATATCTGGGAATTTTTGTTTACCACCCAGTTTCCATTCTGCAATTTAGCGTCAACGTCAGGGTTAGTGCTTTTCCAGAGACTTCATTTCCGAGAGATACAGAGGAATCATCCATGCATCGTTGAGACGATCGTGAATGAAGAACTATTTTGTAAATATTTCAAGGGCTTGTAGGTGAAGGCTCCAGTTACCCGTGTAAACTGCCCGGATAAACGTTAAAAGAAAGCAGTAGTCTACTATGTTGAAACTTAACCCCATTTTGGATTTCCCTTGGATTTCCCGCATACTTATTTGGATTTCCTCCATACTAATTAAGTGCCTTCCTGCATACTAATTCGGTATAGGTTTACTAACGAGCGAATACTACAATTGAAACAATAGGTTTGCCTAGACTTGCCCGTGAAGTAACTTGAGCTCGGTTTTCTTTATAACAGCTATGTCTTTCGAAAGTTTTTAAGATAAAATTTTTGGTATAGTGGCACTTTAAGGTGTGTGTCTCATTTCATTCAGGCGTTTTATTAGCTTAATTGAAAAAAAATTACAAGGCTATTGATCTTTTAGTATCGTCGAGAGGAAAATCTACTAAGCTGTAGCAGGTTTACCTCAAGAGCCTCATTTCCATTCTAGCATTGTCATGTGACCATGGTAATGACCGAAATGGTATAATAATATTATATTCCGGCACTTTTATCCAAGCGGAAGAAATTTATCAAGACCTTATTGTCATAACCTCGTTTCCATCCTAATTTTGTCACGTGACCATGTTAAAAAACGAGTACTAAGTAATATCATCAAAGTAATTAAAATGTTATTGCCAATTTTGTTTCAGAGCCTCGTTTTTTTCCCAATAAAACGGCTCGGTGGGAGTTTCCAGTCTGTCAACCAATTTTTTTATGTTCTTTAGCGTCCCCTTCACACATTCAGATGCAGCCAAACATTCCCACGGGACATAAAATTACGATATTTGCTCCTGGACTACTCCGTAACCGCCCAGTCACGCTACCTCATTCACTACTTACGTTTAAGCCTGATTGTGAACTGACAAACAGCAGGTCTGTTGTTTGGATTGTTGTCAAAGGCTCTGTAGTACACTATAGTCGTTCCCCAGGGAAACGGGCTCCCGCTTTCTCGACTGTTAAGAATCGTTAAATTTCCGTTACTGTTGTCCTTAAACTGTGGAGTTTTCCATGTTACATTTGTCAACATCTGTGTTGGGGTAATATTCTGGTCTGGTGGACAATATACAACCTCTGGACCTGAATTATCTGTGAATACAAGGTTCATATAATTAAGGTAGGTAAAATTAAGATAGAAATAATCAGTGTAATATGAATTTGTTTAGAAAGATTGCAGACAGCCTTAAAATGGCTCACTGAAGCTGTCAGTGAGTGTTAGTAACTAAAACGTTTTATTGCCAGTGGCAGCCTATAGGAAAGGGCCCCTCCACCGAGACCCGGAGAAGAAACGTCAACTTAACAAGACAAGAACAGGCAACAGTTATAGAGAACATTCAGTTTTCTTTTGTGTTTTCTGACCTGACCTGACCTTGGATTTTGGGCGCGAGTATAACTGGACAAACTGGGCGAATTTACTGACCTTCTAACATAACTTTAAAAGAGCATTCTTTCCTGTTTCCATTCGCATCCGTCGCAGTGTATGTAATGACAGTTGTTTTGTAAAAGGTTAAAGGTGGCTTGATCCCAGGTGGTGACACTGTGATCTGCACAGGCTCGTTACTATTATCATAAGCAGCAGGAATCTTCCAGTGCACAGATGCTGATGCGTTTGCCCTTAAATCTGCACGTATGTCAGAGGGGCAACTTAATGTTGGTGGAGTTGCGTCTGCAAGAAGTATCATTATAATTATGGACTCAATGCAAAAATGGCTGCTGGATTAATATTCTTTTATTTAAATTAAAATTACCCTGACTCAGTGACTTGAGATAAGGTATTCTTTTGAATTTTGTAGTTTTACAGAACGAAGCTAGAAAGGCTGGTTTGAATAATTATCAGAATTATGAACAAAGGAATATGAAACTACTAGACCGGCCATTTTTGCATTGGGTCTATGGGCTACAGACAGTTATTAGCCTTGAAGAGGATTTAAATACCAAGAAATACTAAAGGAAAATACTTTAAATACTTAAAAAAATAGGATTTCATTTTTATGTGCGTAATTATTTCCACCAGACATCAGTTGTAGCTTCCAGGATAATCATATTTTTTGCAAGTCGTTTAATACACTAAATTAAGCAAACTGAGTTACCGGCAAGAGATAGAAAAACTACTTATTAGAGATAACCAACGTAATACCATGCAAGTTCTTTTTGTTGAAAACTGACAGAAACAGAAAAAACAAAAAATATATGGCTTACCTCTGCACTTTAAAATTGAAGTTTCATTCATGTTCCAATTTCCATCAGTTCCACAAAATGCAGTTTTTACGCTACCATCAGCGAGAAATCCACCATGGTTGCACTCAAAATAACAGGTAGTTCCGCTGGTTGGAAGTGATTTGCATAGAGAAGGGTGAATTGAACCAAACTTTGGAACCTTGAGTGGCGAACACGTTCGCACTGAAACAGTAAATAATATTCATCATCAACATCAGAAATGAGATGGAATCATACATAATCTACGCAGGCGAATTAATCAAGCATTTTGACGTTTATTACCCCCATAACAATAATAATGATGATGATGATGATGATAATGATTATGACGTTGATGATGATGATGATGATGATGAACCTCACTCGGCTTCAGCTAGCCTCTCTCGACCCTCTATCATATCGACCAATTTCACTTTATTATGTTTCCAATTGCAGCTTTCACTGCTGTACATGATAGAAAAAAGGAAAACAAATTGGTACTGTTAAGTAAATTAATCACCTTTGCAGACTGGAGGTGGCTTGTCCCAGTAGCCCTTTGTGTCGCCTGGTTTTGCTTCACAAGTGATTTTCCTCGGGCCAAGTAAGTCGTATCCTTCAGGACACCTTATCCTACATGTTGATCCATATGACGTGTCACATTTGCCAACCACAGATGATCCTTTTGATGGAAGTAGGAGAGCTGGACATTGTAAAACTATAAAAAAAAGACCGGAGGAAAAAGAAAAAAGGGCTTAACTAATTGAAGGAAGGAAGTGGTAAATATGAACAGTACCGTAGGACTTACTTTATGGGCATCTTTGATTGGACTGACTGCAGACCATTAAAATCACCTTACTCCTTGACTTTTGTTCGACGGATCAACCCGTTTTTTTTTTTTTTTGAGTTATGGTTGCACGCGAGAGGTTCCTGACACGAAGAAGCGTAAAGGTGAAAATCCACGGTCGCGTAATTTTTACGCGCGCACGCACATAAATTTTACTCGCTTAAAATAGAGACAATGTATGAAAGGTCACGCGTAAACGTAAAAGTTGAACCTCGCTCAACTTTCACATTTACGTGTGACCTTTATATACATTGCCTCTATTTCATTTACGCACGTAAATTTTGCGAGCATTCGCCCGGAAAATTACGCGACAGTGGAAATCAAACCCAACAGTCGGGTGTTTACGCTCCTTGAGTATTAGTATAGGTAATAGCATGATTTGTAGTGATATTTGGAAAAAAAACCACGAGTGATATTTCGAAATTGTTGTACGTAATTTCACGAGCCGTTTGGCGAGTGAAATGTGAGACAATTTTGAAATATCACAAGTGGTATTTGTCAAATATCACGTACAAATCAGGCTATTATTTGTTTATACTACTACCCACAAACGGTTTGTAATTTTCACATGTAGGGATTTCGAATTAAGCTGAAATACCATTACTCTAAGCCAATCAAATTGCAGAAATTTCTCATGTAGTAGTATAAAGATTAAAACCTTTGCAAAGCATGAGGTAAACTGAAGGCAAAATATACTCACTTAGAAATTGATGAGTACTGCTCTTAGCACGCGCTAGCTTTATTTAACAATAATTTACACATGGGCTAATAGTAAATGAGTTATTCTCAGCATGAGATTTACTTTGGTTATGTTATAATTAAACTGAATTAATTCTATTTTACTTTCAAAATAAACTGTATATACTGCACTGGAAACCAAATTAATTACTTTGCTCTTACCCTCGATCGTAACATGGAATTGGCAGAGTTTAAAATTTCTCGCTTCATCACGAGCTTTGTACACGATCAGATGCTTGCCTACGTAGTACATTCTTCTTACACCAGTCACTGTCACAGTCGGTGTCACACCTGAGTTGTCAGTTGCTTCAACCTCAGACCAGGTTATAGACGTGTAGTTTTTTGCTCTTTCTGCAAATCGTTTTATATCACCGGGACAAGTGAGGCCAAATGAAGGGCTCTCCACATCTGAGGAGAGAGAGCAATGGTGTCAGGAAACTAACCAGAGATGTTTCAAACTTAAGGCTGATTGGAAGAATGACAAACTTCTTTGAAGGGGAACTGGTTGAAAAAATTCAAATTAGACCAATTTAGCTCCAAGTTTCTTGTAGGGTCCTTGCATGGTACCTTCTTACCTCTTGCTACCTCCTTGGACTGAAAATTTATTGCGCCCGCCCATCCACCGTAGTACTGACCTTTACAGGATACCGTGGTATTCTCCGACCACTGTCCGTCACTGACACACAACATTGCTGGTTTTCCTTGTAACCTAAAACCTTTTCGACAAGAAAAACGGCACGTGGTGCCGTATTCTGGTGAACTTTGGCATGACTCTGGTGACACACTCCCATCTTTTGGATCTTGCAATGGATCACAACGGACAGCTTCGAGGAGAAATTGCAAATACAAAACCAATTAAACTTGTGAGGTGTAAGAAAGTGGTTTTACAAAGTAGGGACCGAAAACATGTACTATATTATAGTGTCGTTTTGATATTTTCGTTTACCTTGGCAAAGAATTGCTTTTCCAGACCATGTACCATTTGCCTGACAGACTCTTTGAGTTGATCCGCCTGTGTGGTGATGACCAATTTCACAGGAAAAAAGGCACTTGTCACCAAATACGTTATCGGTTGCACCATGTCGGCAGCCTGTCTGGACGCTGTGAGGAGAGGGTGACAGACGAGGGCATCTGATCACTGGACAAAAACAGGAATCGAAGAAACAACAACAAAACGTTTGTTTTAAACTTTCAAATACTGGTACAAGTCAGATATCTCACTGCCGATAATGATAATGTCGCCACCATACCTCTCGATCCACATATGCCTCCTTATGCCACAGGCCAGGGAAGCTCACTGGGAGAGGGGGAAAAAGGGCGTGCGGGCCTTTTCTTTCTTCCCATCGTCGCCCGCGCACTTCCTCTTTTTGTAAATTTTCATTGCAGGAATCCCAGGGGGAATCTCCGCGGAGGAGAGAGCTATCATATCCCGATAGCATTACACTTAACCGTCTTAAGGCATAACTTACATTCGCATTTTGTTTCTTGCCCTGTCCAGTAACCCGTTGGACCCATCTGACTCTTTTCGCATACCCTTTTGGCAGGGCCCACCATTTTGTAGCCACGATGGCATGTGAAGGAACACTTTGAGCCATATATGTTGTCCTCGGTACATTGCTTGGAGCCTCCGGCTGGAGTATATAGCTTGGGCAAACATCGGACCACTAGTAAAGAACCAATGGAAAGCACACTTAGATAAAAGTAGCAAATTAAACAACCGCATATATACTATGCATGATTTTATTCAAAGGAGACTTGCGACACTTACGAATAAACGTATACAGCCATTCTGAGAAAGGTTGTCGGAAAAAGTGCACGCGACAATCCCGAAAGGTATTGTGGGTGGTTTTGAGTTCACTCTTCTTCAAAGAAATTTGAAAGAATCGCATGAGAGGCCATGGACGTATGTTTGCGAGTGCTAAAGGAAAGCAATAAAAGTAGGTTCGACAGCTACAGTGTCAGGAACAGTGTATTGATCATATCCCATATTACCTTTCGGGGTTGTCGCGTCCACATTTTTTCGGACAACTTTTCTCGAAATAGCTGTATTATTATCACAAGAAAATCTTGATCTATTGACAAAATTGAAGCCGCGCACCTTTGTCAACTAATTAATGCAATTTTAAGTGATAAGATTTACCTTAATTAAGAAGTACTCAAAATGGCTTCGCTTGAGTTGTTCGGATGAATTTTAGTTTTTAATTTTTAAAATTTTAAAATTTTTAATTTAAACTTTTTTTTAATTTTTAAAATTTTTAAAACTAAACTAGTGAGCAGTAGCTTTAAAACTTGTTTATTCTCCTACCCGTTTCGTCTAACTAACGTAGACTTCTTCAGGGAGTTTTACGATCAAATACTAAACGCCTGTATTTAAGCCATTATATGACTAAAAATAATGATGGTCGCAAACATTAAAGGTTTGGCCGGAGTTACGAAAAGGAACAGGCTCAGCTGTGAAATTTTTTACGCATGTGAAAGTAATTACCTATACTGACACATGGATTTACCTGACACCGACGTCGAATGAATATACCCTGTAGAGAAAGTGTTCGACCCAGGAGGGAAACCTGAAGGCCGGTCTATGGGAGGGGGGGTCGATTTTTTTTCGCAATCTGTTAGCCTTGCAATTGTTGATTTATCCGTACTCGAACTTCCCGGGGTCTGGGCGGAGAAACGCCAAGATAAAAATCGACCTAGAATCGGCCCTACTTTTAAACTGTTGCAGTGCAACAGATTTTTTTGTTTGTGGTCACAAGTCGCGGTAAAAGATTTTAGCGTGTGAATTAGCCCTTGCCACGGCCTGGAAACTGACAATAGGCCCTTACAAAAAAAAAAGAAACAAAAAAATTGTTGTAAATTTGCTCTCTAGATTGCTTTTATTCCTCTAGGTATTACCTTTCGGCAATATTGATCGGTACCTGAAACTGTTATCTTAAAATTGCATCCGCCAACGTTTCCTGTGTTATCAGAGGCCAGGTAACGGATACTGTGTTCACCAGCTGGAAATTTCTGGCCAGGCTGTTTTCCGGGGCGAGTTATTTTCGAAATGGCGCCAGAATTGTCGGTAGCCGTTGGTGGTGTCCACGTGACTGTTGTCGAGGTCCTGCTCCGGTCAGCGGTTGCAATGATATCAGAAGGACAGTTGATGAAGGTCGGCTTTGAGACGTCTTAAAATATAAGATTAAATAAACAAGAAAAGTGAATGATTTCTTTAATAGAATTCTTATCCACATACGGATTTTCAATACATCAACTAAATAGGAGAGGGTAGCACCCGACAAAAAACACAATCTTATGGAAAGGGCGTAAGTGTTAAAGACCAATGCAAGAACAAACTCTTATTAAGCTACCAAAGTGAATGCCTGCCTCAAGAAACGGTTGATCTTATTAACTTGACAGCTAAGCTATTCTACGGAAAACACAATTATAATATTTATGTGTGGTTTAATAGTGCCGGACCAAGACGTCAGTTACACAATCTTTAATACGTAGCATTTTCACAGCTTTAACTGTTTTAGCTAGTAAGGAGGCCAAACCGTGTAAAACACACCTTTACACGATGGATTTCTCGATGGAGACCAGTACCCGCTCTTGCTGTTCCGGTTATGGTTTATAGCGGTATACCAGTACCAGTATATATTCCAGTGATTACAAGTCTTAACTTCGGGTCCCTGGAGTTGGTAACCATTCTTGCAGGTGAATCGGCACTTTGTTCCGTATTTAAGGGTAGCGCTTGGTTTGGTGCAAATAGGTGGGCTGATTACAAGTCCCTCTGATTTTATAGCGATGATAGGACACGTCACAGCTATAGGTCAACCGCAAGAGGGAAAGATAGAAAGCTTCGATTAGTAAGCATGGATGATTTGATATTTTGAAATAACAGTAAAAACGATGGCTAAAATACTCTCAAAAGCTTTTAGGCTAACCTGTTGTGGGTTCAGAATGTGGTACGGCGAGCAAAGCAAAAAGCAAAGGTATATCTGCCGCTTTAACCGAAATGCGTTTGGGTAACTGATAGAGCGGTTTTCATTTGAGTGTCGAAAAGTAATTGGTTTTGCACTTTCTACACGATGCGATTGGCTTAAAAGATTCGCGCCACCTTTTCCTCCAATCAGAAGTAAAACCAAAGCCAATTGTGACGCGCTCGCATGCATTTTCCCGCGCTTTGCGTCAGCCACATGTAATTACTTCGAGTTTTGATTGGTTCAGTGTATTGTCTGTGTCCTATGTGATTGGCCAGAGTAATTACTTTGGTTTTGGTTTTACGACACTCAAACGAAAACCACTCTAGCTACTCATGATCAGTTATCAGAACGTTATTTTAAAACGTAACAAAGTTTTCGTATCCTATGAAAGTGGCCGTGTGCATGTACCTAAGTTTCATTGTTACTGCGTAGCCTTGACCGTTGAACTCGTCAATAGGTGATAAGTAAAAATAGGTAGAGAACTAGAAGTGTATATTTTATTTTGCCTAGTCCCTGTACGGCGTCTTTTCAGGCCCTCTCGGTCAATGCATTTCGGTGACGTATCCGAAATGAACGGCCGGGAGACGCCTAGACAATCTCGGAGTGCGCATGCGTGAGCATTTTTGAAAAGTTCACACGGTCAACTGAAATAAACCATAAATAACTTTGCGCGTGAATATCCTTCACTGAAGATCGGCACTATTGACACTATTACAAAAGTAACTAACCTAGTTCGTGTTATATAAGAACAAAAATATTACTTTGAATCGGAAAGAATACTACTGTATAACGTGCAAGTAATTTCTCTTTTAGTCCACCTTCAAATGAACAATTAAAATGATAGTCTTTATTGATAAAAAGATTTGAAACAGCAGTTTGTTGACATTCTACCAAATTTAGAGACCAAATTCAACAGCCTGTCCGATTAGTTTGATAAGCTTCCAAATTACATGAAGTATTTCGAAGTGAAATGATAACGAGAAATTTATAGCAGCAAGCAAAAATAGAGAAACGAAAGATAGCTTGTCATATCCAAGAATAAATATAAACCTATTTCTTTAGCTTACCTTCCGATTGTTGATCAAATAATTTTTTTGCGACGCTGTTTTGCTTAGCCCACAAATAGTTTTTGAGTTGAAGTAAAGTTCAAATTAGTTTAATGAGATAAATGAAAAAGAAAGGCTAAATTAAACGACTTTCAACAATGAAAACGTGCATAGAATAAAAATGATCGTTCCTCTGTACTCTCCATGGCTGCTGGACATCTTTCATCAGCGCGGAAAAGTTATTGACAGCTCGCCCGCTTCCAAAAGCTCCGCCCCAAGTGAGACAAAAATGTCTCACTTCTCCGAGTTTGTCTAGGCCTCAAAAACTTTCTCGGACCACGTGACCCGAAACGCATCGGCCTCGCATAATAATGAGGCCTAGGGACTAGGCAATATTTTATCAATCACCAAAGAATGACTTGTGGCCTGGAATGAAGAACATAACTTTCGTCCCAACCGGCACCCGTTTCCAAGTTTAACACTGGTCAAAGAGGAATGCGATCCGAAAAGGCGCGGAGGCAACATCTCTATCACTAAATAATACCTTGACACTGAAGATCTGTACCAGACCACTTCTGATTTTCCTGACAAGTTCTTTCTGTCGATCCGCCCGCCATTTGGTATCCCCGTTTGCAGCTGAAGGAGCAGGAGGTGCTGTAACTACGCCTTTTACACCTTACACCAAACCTTGAATATGAGTTAACTGGTGTATGGAGTGGTGGGCACTTCACAGCTATAACATAACACAAAGACATATGTATTACCTTAATTTGTATTGCGCTAGATTTCGTCATGTGACTTGGATAAAGTACCAACAACGGTCCCCTGTCTAATACTCAGGACAGACAGAGAGAAGATATCCAACGTAGAATAAGGTAAAGGTTAGGGTTTGCTTTATAGTGCAAGTGCACTTAGCTTGAATCAGGGACGGCTGAGAAACAAATCCAGCTACTGATCTGAGCTCCGACCACTCAGCCTCTTGCGCCTCCCCTCCCCCCCCCAAAAAAAAAAAAAATTAAAGAGGGAGGAAGGAAAAAATTACCAAACGATAGTAACAAATGTATTATCACAGGGTAGCAATATTTGAGATATAATATCGATTCCAAGGGCTGTTTTGAACGTGAAATTAAAGTTATATAAGAACCGTAAACACCCAAAATATGGCGTGTTTGTTGTGTTTGTATAGGTAATAGCATGATTAGTAGTGATATTTGGCATAAATACTACGAGTGATATTTCAAAATTGTTATACGTAATTTCACGAGCCGTTAGGCGAGTGAAATTTGAGACAATTTTGAAATATCACGAGTGGTATTTATGCCAAATATCAAGTACAAATCATGCTATTATTTGTTTATACTACTACCCGGAAAAGGTTTGTAATTTTCACATGTAAGTATTTCAAATTAAGATGAAATACCACTGTTCTAAGCCAATCAAATTGCAGAAATTTCTCATGTAGTAGTATAACAAGAAAAAAGCTAATGATACGTGAGAAAACCAAACCGCAAACAGCAACGGTTACCTCAACTAGTTTGTGTTTTCAAAAAGGTGGGTTTGCTTCGTGATCTGACATTAATTATGATTATTCAATGCACAATAAACATTTCTGAATTATTTTAGTTGCTCAAGTTTTCTGAAAGTAACGATATCTTACCCTCACACAAAGCAAGACCTCCGGACCAGCGAACTAGATTTCTGCCAGGAATCTTTTCACAGTATTTAACTCCCGATCCTTTCTGTTTATATCCTTTATTACACTGCCAGCGGCAAAGGCCTCCATACACATTTGCACATCTGCCAGTCACAAAATATCCATTTGCAGGTGGCGTTAACACAGGGCATCGCAGAACTGAAAAAGAAAACTTATTTTCGACTTGAATCCTTATATTTAGACTCAGCTCCCGTAAATAAAGAAAACATCCACTTGAAGGTACGCCTGCGATCAATCGAAAGCAAGTAACGTGTCAGCGGAGAACTTCAAAAAACTGACCACAACATAGATGTGTAATGTCAGGTTGCAGGCTCCCACACTAGCTAGAAAGTTTGACATTTACCGTTGGTTGCCCTTGGTGCGGACGGTCGGGTGGACGTACAGTCACGTGATTACCAATATTTCTGGGGTATGGGGCTCCGCTTATGCGAGCGAACGCGCACGTGGGGCTCCGCTATTAACAAATGGAATTTTTTTAAACCAAAAAGCCTTAGATGCAAGGCTTTTAAAGGAAAACCAGGCTTTACTATCCTTTGTGTTCAAAGTAGCCTGTACACAAATGTTCCCTTCCCGGCTTGAATTTGTTTCGAGGGCGTCTGTACACAGGCTATGTTCAAAGCACTTCTTTCCCCTGTTTTTCCTACTGCTACTGATTGTTTCATGAAGTAAAGGGACCAAAAGTAGCCTGGTTTATTTATTAAGGGGCGTTATTAGCATCATCAGTGAATTACTGCCATGTTACTCATTTTAGAAACAGAAAATAGAAAATAGAGATTACGCGAAAACAAACTGGGTGAAATTTGCGTCAGAAAGCACAGAATTTTTTGTTCGCTCTGTTTGTTTGTTTTTAACTTTTTTATGCGACATTTTTTAGCTTTTCTTGGCTCCAGGGAGCAAAGTTTGTGTCTGCAAAATTGTGGTTTACTGAGCGGCTCAACTGGAAAGTATGTACATTTTCAGTGGTAAATGGCATTGTTACATAGTTTCCTAGAAATAATATTGCAACATTTTTTACCTCGAACGTTGACCCTGAAATAGCAGAATGCCTTATTCCGTGACTGGTCCATGGCAGTGTATATTACAGTGTGACTTCCCTCAGCGAACTCGTGAGTAGACTTAACATTGGGTCGCGGTTGCGGTGTGATAGGAAACATGTCATTGTCTGTCGCTTTCACTAGTGCCCAGGACACTGTCACTGTGGTTTTACCTTTCTGGGCATAGACGGTTTGCCTTGGTGGACAGTTTAAGAATCTAGGTGGTTCGACGTCTGTAGAATAAAAACAGGGATGGATTTAACCATCAGAAGTTTTTAATCCTTAAATAAGCGCATGCCGCGAAATTAAGTAGTTTTAACATTGAATATAGACCAATCTGACTTAGCCGGCATGTAATTCATTGGCACAGTACACATAAGAAAGTAAGTAAATGGCCAGGATTAAATTATTATAATTATTATATAGAAATAACAAAAATATAGAAATAACAAATCCGCGACAAAAGAGGGATCGAATAAGTCTTAAGGGCTTCATTCACCTTGATTTAATTAGAGTGGTGTTAATTATTCTACTTGAAATTAAAGGTAACAATAACTATATTGCACATTTGCTAGCAATGCAACAAATCCTATATTTACCTCTACAGGTAAAACCACCTTCTGTCCAATTTCCATTGTCACACATTGTGGAAAATGGTCCAAGCACTTTGTACCCTTTGCCGCACTTGTAAAAACATCTTTGACCATGTAAAGGCTTTGTTTTGCAAATACTCGGAATTATGTCACCATTCTTGGGTGGATAAAGTGGTTTGCATTCTTTTACTGAAAGGACAAGAGAAATAAATACCTTAAAATCATAAACTGGTCGACAACTTTTCTCAGTTTTTTATTATTAAAGATATCAACTCCTTTCTTCCTTTACTTGCTTTTAGTTGTTTGGTCAGTTAGAGTCGGTTAAGATTGCCAGATAGTAGATTAATATTGTTTTCTTTTTTTTTGGCAAACTTCCGTTTAAATTAAATTAAGGAATTAATCCAAAGATCTTGCTAAGGACTGAGTTTTTTTTTACCTCGGCAGTTCGGAGATTTTCTTGGGTACCAGCTGCCATCACTTGTACAACGAGATGAGGAACTACCATCAATTTTATAACCGCGATCGCATGTAACTGTGCAAGTCGTCCCATAATTCACGTGTGATTGGTTGCTACAATGAGGTGATAACTTTCCTTGGCTAGGAGGCGGCCAATTGCTTGTGGCGCATGTGATTGCTGTGAAGATAAACATTGTTTTTTGTAGTTTCATTATAGAATCATAAGAATCACATCATTACTACCATGTCTTCTGTCCGGGTTTGAGCTAAGCGTGACGCTTTGCACATATGGAGGCACCCTTCAAATTAATTGCCGTCCGCTTAAAAACAAAACAAAAAATATAGACAAGAAGAGTGCCATTCAACTTAAGTTTGCTAAGACGAATGAAGGCGGAAAACAACAAACGGCACAGATGAACGCCGTCCATTGTGGAATACACTTGTTTATTTTTCTAGGAAGACTCTAGATTGCTTATGAATTTAATCATGAATCATATATATTGATCCTATTTTGTTGACAATTATGTGACGTTACAAGACAGTGTTGTCCACCGCTGAGAACTTAACAGGCTCGAAAAATCGCGAAATTGACGCATATAATTAGGAAGCACACTTTGAGCTCCGATCTGAAACATTCCTTGATGATTATTATACGTTTTTATTTTTTAAAAGTGATTTTCTATGGTTGAAAAACTTTTCTGAATTCTAAAAGGACATCTATGCTATTCACTTCACTAGCACTTTAAATGATGAATATATGACTTTCATATATTGGAACCGCGGAATGAAGAGGCTTACTTTTCGCAACTGCAGGCGTTATTACTGATTACGTAAGTACAGTGTTGAACAAGAAAGCAAATACTTACAGACACACTTTTTCGAGTTGTAAGGATTACGCCTATATCCAGAATAGCATGTACATCTGTAACTGCCATAAGTGTTTATGCAACTATGAGCGCATCCTCCGTTATAATCGTTACATTCATTGCAGTCTCTTGATTTTGTGCTTGATCCGTAGCAGTAGCTGCCGCCATTGGCAGGATAAGGATTGTCGCAGTCTCGTCGCACAGTTTTGTACCCACTCGAGCACGAGGCATAGTACCACGAACTCCACGAACTCCATCCTCCATCTCTTGGTGACGGCCTTGAACGTCTATAGGATGACGATGACGACGCTAAAGAGTTCGCCAAAAAGGGAAAGAATGTTGCACCGAATAATAATAATAATAATTATTATTATAATTATAATAAGACATTTATAAAGCGCCTTTTCACAAGGGTCTAAAGGCGCTATTTACATGTAAAATTTAAAAACTACAATCAAAGCACACTATTAAAAACAACAAAAGCTAAAGATAAAATGGTTTTAGATATAAAACACCACAGTCACGTCATCAATTAAAAAAAGGCGCGTCTTAAAAGAACAGTTTTCACAGTGTCTTTTGAAAATGTCTTGTGATCCAGCATCCCTAATATGCCGAGAAAGACTGTTCCAAAGAGGCGGCGAAGTGAAAATCGATTTTTTTCACGTAGTTATTGTACCAAGACAATGACAACCGATGATAATGATAGTAATGACGGTGATAATGAAGAACAAAAATAACGACAATGTCGAGGATGATAAAGATGAGGATGATGACAATGGAAATGACTGACATTACCATGACGACGATGATGATAACTACAACGATAAAAACACAGTGGCACAGACAGTGACAGTGACAATGGGCATAGGAATGATTATATTGATAATGACGATGATGAAAATATGATGACCATGGCAATGAAAAAATGAGAATAACAATGATGGGACAATGTTAAGACGATGAAAGTGAACAACGTTGTCCACCAGGAAAATTTAATTCAACGGCAGTGAAAAGGAAAATAAAATATAATGAAACAATAACTACAGTACCAATAGTAATAAAAAAAGAAATTAAATGCTTTTTTACGTATATACTCACAACTTCGCCTTCGTGATCCACAGCCTCCGCATCCTTCCACGACACTTAGGTTTAAGCAGTTTAACAAGGCCAAAATCCAAATGAATGCGGATGTTTGCCTCATTATCCTTTGAAGTAAAGGGGTGGAAAAGAACAAAAAGGTGGAACGTTTTATGTGCCGAAACTATTAATGTATAGTAATCCGCTCTCTTACTCGTCCTCTGGAGCGAGAGAGAGGGAGAGAACGTAATGTACCATTAAGGACACGTAATCATTAGGTCATAAGAACCATTTTTTATCAAAATTCATAAAAAGTAATGAAAAGAAAGCTTTTTTTTTTTGGATTTTTGAACTTTGGTGATTTTCTTCAAGATTTACTGAGATTTCAGTCTCGACTCTTCGCAGTTAACAGTAACAACAACTTAGTTTGTTGTTGTTGTTGTCTTTTGTACCTAACGTCTGATACAGTTAATTAAGAAATAAGTAATGAAGAGGATAGGCTGACCAAAATTACTGTTGGGCCGGGGCAAGAGATCAAAACATGAAAGCTGTCCTATTCTGAGCTCTTGGCCGGGGCCTTTATCTCGGTGTCTCGAGAACAAATGTACTCGTCGGATGATGGCTGTCACATTATATAGTCCGGATCAAATTACGCGAACCATTAACAATGAACCGAGCCTTAGGCGAAATTATTTATAACATCTGCCAGAGTAAATTGATTTGCTAGTACAAAGAGGAAGTTCGTTTTCATTTACATTTCAATGCCCCTTTGTCAACTGTGCGTGTTCAAAACCGAAAGTGACTTCAGCTGAAAAGCCGTTAGGTGAACGGATAAGTGGGAAACAAAACGAAATTATTATATAAAAAAAAAGAAAAGAAAGAAATCACTACCAGTGTTAAGCAAAATGGACCGAACTTCATTAAAGCTTCCACGAATGATATCATTATAATAACCATCTGTTTTAGGGTTTTGGATGAATTTCCCTTTTTTTTTTCCAAAACGACTTGTGAAGTGCGTTGATTGCTAGGCATGTACAGTTTTCTTTAAAATAAGATGTGACAGCGGATATTTAAATTTCAGTGATGATCCCTGTAGCGGATTATTTTCGTCGAAAACTGACAACCGAAAAAATTAAGTTTCTGTAAACTACGGAGAGAAGTTGAGTTGTGAAGTTGGTTGTGTTCAAAGGGGCGATTTTTAGTTTTAGTTAAGGGAGCTGTCGTCCCCGTTGGTATGGTTTTAAGCTTTTTGGTTCCGATCATTTTGAATTTGAAACTACAGAACTGTAACTTTAACCAATGTCAAAAGAGCCCTATAAAAGTGAATTTGGAGTTAAATCCTGTTAATATGATACGGCTCTGAAAAACGAAACAAATTTTGGAGACTCGGGGAGTCACAAATCATCCGGAATAATAGGAGTGATCTATTTGTGGTCCGGTTTTTCTCATTGAGCAAAGTGAGCATTCGTAATGAATCCAGTATGAAGACAATTAGTGCGATAGGATAGCATAAACACCCTTCAAGTTTACATACGATTAACGTGTTTAGTGTCTAATAGCATGAATTAGGCCCGCTTTACTCAAATTGAACGATTTCAGATCTGATTTTGAAGGCAAACCTTTGATCAGAGTCGTTTATTAGATAGTTCCGCGTGAGGCAAGGCGGAGCAGGGGTCGTGCGTGCAAGAATTTGCTCAGAGCTGAAATTAAACTGACTGACCGTCACTGAAAAGCAAGTTCAAATAACTGTGCATACATCTTTCAGTAAACCAAAAAGCTAAGAGCGTTTTCTCATTTTCTACAGATGATACAGATCAGGTCTCCGTTTTATAGAAAAAAATGAGCAAGTGTAACTTAAAGTTCCTTAATGTGAGCCCATCACAATCCACTGATATTTTAAGAAAGTTGTGCAGAGCACAATTCCATGTTGTGTTGTTAAAGGCACACTACGCCAATTTTATTCACAGAACCGAATACTCCTTGAAAATTTTCTACTGCCACAAGCTAGGGTAGCACATTTTGCAAACAGATGACTAAATAGGCCTATGATAGGCTATGGTACGTTTGATAGGCTATTTTATTTATTTAAAAACTACTTACTTTTGGTGTACGTACCTTGTTTTGTCCTGCAAGAAAATCCAGTTGTTAGTTCCGTGGTGAGTATTCTAAAACCAAGATTCAAATGCTTGATCTATCCAGCGAGTTGAAATTTTAATAGATTCACGAGCTCATCATTTTCAGTTGTTTCGGAAAGTGCTATTTGTCTAACCCAGTATAGCGCGGACATCAATATGCATATTCTCCTCACCATCCTCTATATATTCCTTATGGTGCTAATTGGGAAAAGTTGGTTGAATAATCACAGCATATTGTGTCGGATCATTACCTCAATTCTCATAACCATTGCGTCAATTAATTGATCAGCAAGGGTTGAAGCTGAAACTTATCTCTCATGGGAGTTAAGAACAAACATGGCTAATATCCAATTGCTGAATACCCACTTGACACATTCTTACCACCGAAGCTTACAAAACTGAAAGTGCACGCTTTTTTTTCATAATAATTGACATAAAGTGAAAACAGATACTTGTCATTATAAGGGATTAAAAGGCTCTAACCGGAAGGTGTCCCTTTGGGGAATTAAGAACAAACATGGCGGAAATCCAATTGCTGAATCAATATACACGTACACAGGGGCGTAGCGTGAGATTTTGAAGTGTACGCAGGAAGGGAAGAAAAGTTGTAGTGCCAGAGGCCGCCCAACCTAGGGGAGTCTTTTTTTTAAGAAAATAGAAAGTATATTTTTTCCATAATTTAGCCGGTACATGTACATGGGCGTATGTACGTATGTGCGTATGTGCGTATATGTTTGGTAACCGTAAATATGGAGAACTGTCTTACCCCCCAAAATCAGAAAATGTGCGACCCCATTCTAGTAACTCTATAGAAAATGCCACTCCATTATAGTCAATCCAGTCGTGAAAATGAGACCCCATCCAGTGGCACATCCCTAATTAGCCTCTTATAAGGAAGTACAGTCAACTGTCCCTAAGACGGACACCTTTGGGACCAGTACTATGTGTCCGTCTTAGAGAGATGTTTGTCTTAGAAAGAGTCAAATAAAGGAGTAAAGAAAAGCAGGGACCAACCCTAGGTGTCCGTTTTACAGAGGTGTCCGTCTTATAGAGGTGTCCGTTAAGAGAGAGTGGACTGTATTACACAGCAGGTTCTACCACAGGTAGCCCAAGCTCCAAATATGAGCATCGGCGAACATCGGCATTGTTGCGTAACATTCGAAATATAAGGATTCACGGTATGGGATAAAAACCTATCGTTTCTGTAACCTACGAAAATGAAAGGATTTCAATAAAAAACAGCTTACCTTACATAAAATGTGTGTTACGTCTCTCCTGTGTGGTCCATGGGCCGATTTATGGCCGTTTTATGGGTTCTACTGTAAACAGTTTTCTCTTTCTATGAAGGTTTACGGCCGTATGCTCATATTTCGAGCTTAATGGGCTACCTGTGGTTTCAAAATGGTCCTTTCAACATCACCTGAAACGATAATTTCTAGTTTTAGAACCCACAGCTGGTAATAGAAAAAAGACACTCAAAAACAATCGTTCATCACTGTTTGTTCGAATAGGCACAAAGCTGCATAATTAAGGGATCGGAGAATTGCCTTGCACCTGATTACATGTCAAACGGATACATGTCTTCAAAATTCATACTACGCATCGATTTATTTAATTCTTATAACCTTAGAGATTCTGAAAACAATCTTGCTGTTCCCGCCTTGCCACGAACCTATTCCTATAGAAGCAGCTTCTGCTACAGCGGGGCTGTTCTGTGGAACAATTTTCCCACTGATGTAAGACAAGCAAAATCTTTGACTGGCTTTCGAAAACTGTTAACTTCTAGCTCGAACGCGGCATTCATGGAAAACAGGCTTTAATTTTATAAATTAATTTTATTAATTTTATTTATTTCAACATTCATCTTTGTAAACGATATTACCGTTAATTCTATAGTTTGTAAAAAATTTTAGAATATTGTATATTGTATATTTAGCCTGATTCTTTTTACCGTTATAAATAAAAGTGATGATGATGATGATGATGGTGGCTTCCTGGTACATGTGTAGAGTGATTTATTCAGGGAATATTTAACCACAGTGAATTGGGACAAATCCTTCATTATAACGCATCAAACTTGAAAAATTGACGAAGAAATTTTGGAGGACAAAGTCTGAAAGCGAAGCAACCGAGGCACCGCCCGCCCCTCCCA